ACATGACGAAGGGGGTCCTATATATGTCGACGTGACATTAGCTATTCAATTGATTGAGCCTATTTAATTAAATAATAGCATCTTCGGATGAGATTGACCTATTTAATTAAACAATATCATATTGGGTTTGGAGCTTGGACCATCATGTCCACTTGGCCCATTTATTTCCTTATATATATGTGAGTTTATTTCACATAAGGTATGATTTTTAACCATATCCAAATCCTATCTCCCTCTCTTGCACTCTTTTTCTCTCTCGTCTGGCCACTGATTTGACCGTCGGAGTGCAAACAATCGTCGAGCTTTTTTCTAGATCGGTGGTCTTTTCCTTCTAACAAGATGTTCCGTTGCGTATGAAATATCTACGTGGAGGAGAGGTGAAAAGAATTTTGTTGGCACATTTTCTTAGGTTAACAGATGTAATGACAAAGTGTATGTGGTAACAAATAATTTGATGGAAAAACTGATTTTGCTCTAAATAATTCAATGATAGTATGACATGTGACATTATGTCAACTTATTTGACATTATAATATGATTTAGTTTTTAAATAATTTGACATGCTAAAGAGACTTGGAAATCAAAGAGAAGAAGAACAAGACGAAGGAGGAGAGGATGAGGAGGCCAGAAGAAGAAGAATGTTAAGGATCAACGGGATTGCTATGATACCCTTTGTTAAGAATAATGTATTTCTCTGATCCACTTGTTGTAATTCAGGATTAAAATATTGAAGTTGTATGGTAAAATATGAAGTATATGATCATAAGCAAAAGAGTAATAAAAGACAAGAAATATAGCAGAAGAATTTGGAAATTTTATTGACTCATGAACAATAATGGAAAAAAACACCATGGTGGCGCCTCGACGCTTGGGCCAGCGCCACAACGCTGGGGCGTTCTGCCCTCCATTTTTTTTCTTTTTTCGCTCCAAGTTGATTTCTTCACCTTAAAGTCATTTTCCAAACCAAACTCCCAATAGGGCTTCCAAATAGAATTTCAGTTTGAATAAGATTTCAATAGTATTTCAAATTGAATTTCTTTTTACGTACACTTCAATTAGATTTCTTCAATTATTTCAATAAGAAATTCGGGTCACGCTCAAATTCTAATAAAGAAGAAAAAGAAGAAGTGATTATTAATCAATGGCCAATCCTCCTAAAATTCGGTAAAGTGAAATGTCATTTTTTAATCATTTATCATGCCTACACTTAAATAAATTAATTAATATAAAGTTAATTTTCGTTATAGTGAATTTTCACAGATGATCATATTCACCAATATGTTTGGATCCCAATATTAAAAAGTACAATTTTTAAATTTTAATTTCTTTTTATTTTTCAATATTATGTCATAAAATCCACTTTATCAACTAATAAATTTTACAACATGCATATTTTTCTTAATTCTATCAATCATACAAACATTCTTTAATACAAAATTTCATCTCCAACTTGAGAATAGTCGGTCACGTTTTAGCATGATTGGATCAAGTTTGTCTTGAGATAAATAGTAAAGCTATGGATAAAAATAATATTCGACTACTCGAATCCACATTTTTACTCTTGAGGGAGAGAAAAACACTATGCATTAAGCAAAAGATAATAGTAATACTAATACATAGGAATCTCAAGTGTAATATATACATAAAATAAAAATGCATAAAAGGTTGAAAGGGACCACATATAAGTCCTATCCAATGATTACGTAGGACGCGGCACGTGCCAATAGTCACGTGTAATGTTCTTGATTTGGATTCCCTGCTTGCTGAGGATGCTGTGATTGTTCCAGCAATTGAAGATTTTATTCCTCTTTTTCTTGTTGCCTTGTCCCTCTCATTTTCATGTCTTTTTTTTGGTCTTCTTTTCTTTTGATGCAACTATTTTATCAATTGGTTAATATTTGAACAATGCTACTATTACATATATTTTTTTTTTTTTGTAAAAATAACGGAACACACACAGGGTGGGCCCCATTTCCATGTGAGTATTATGACATTTTTATAGATGAAATAGTTCTGTACATGTGGTTTAATTGTTAATATTTATAGTCGTATTCATGAACAAGATCTATTCAACTATCACCATTATTATTATTATTATCTACATCCAAAATTTAACTTTCAATTTAGTGCATAAAATTATTTTACGGTATGTAACACGAACAATTTGTACACGTATCACATCAAATTTATCATCCCTCATTTTACTATAAAAAGAAATTGAATGAAAAAAATATTAGGACGACGATTTGAGCACCATCACTAAATTTGTATTTGAGCAAAATTTTCGATCATTGAAAATGCAATATGGTTTTAGTGATGACCCATCAAACCCTCGTACTAAATTTATAAGCAAAAATTTACAGTTTTGAAGAAATTAGGATGAGGGTTTTAATAGATTTCAAATACTGGATATAATTGAAAATAAATGAATTAAAACCATATCAAGTTATTCGTTGAGTCCTTAGTAATATTGTATTTATCACCAATTACTAGTGATGGCGCTTTTGTAACACGACTTAGCCAATGAATATTGGGAAGAGAAGAGAAAATGGACATACAAGCCACTTAGGAAAATTGAAATTGCTTTCCAACCAAAATACACCCACCAGTCAGATCAAATATTTCTTTGCAGCTGACAAAGAAAAAAGGTCACTTTGTGCCAAACAACACTTCGCTGCTCTTAGGTTGTATGTTTTCAAATAAATTCAAGAAAAGTGGAAAGTGACTAACTATACAGTGGGGCCCATAAAGCGAAAATCTTGTTCCGACAATATGAAAAAAGTAGAAAATATTTGTAATACCAATGATGAAAATTTAAAGAGGAAGTTGTAAAAAATGTCGACTTTTATATAGTCATTTATAAAAATGTCCAAAATTTTTTCAGTATCCATTTTACTATAATATAGATCAAAATGTCCTCATTAACAATTTTAAATTCCACAATGAAGACAAAATTATTTATATAATTAAAAATCATATTGATCAATAATAACTTGACACACAGTACATACTACTTTTTTTAAAAAGTATCATGTTAATCATACATTAAATGATCACTTCTCTATATAAGGAGATAAATAAAATAGTTATAAAATGTCGAAAAGTACACTTAAACTGCCAAGAACATTATGAAATGTAGAAAATTTTCATGTTTAGAGCGAAATTTCGTTCCAAACAAATGTAGTGTTAATACAAACATGGTTCAAATATCGATAACAGCTTTTAAAATGTCGAGAACGTCCTGAACTGTCAAGAATTACAACTATTTAACATAACATATTAACAAAAATAAGATTTCAAAGAAAAATTACCTTATACCGAGAATTGTGGAAAGCCTAATCAACTGCAATTTGGACGAGATTAAATTTTTCGAAATAAAATTATATGATTTTTTATGAATTGAAAGCATATAATTATTTTTTAGTGTTAATGACTTTATTAATTCATCTTCTTCAATTTTTTTTCCAAAATTCCTGGTCAGCACTTAATAGATAATAAAAACAAATGAATCCATTATGTATTAGCTAGCATTAATGTAAATTTTCATGGAAGCCACTTGTTCTTCTCAAAATTTGTGACAAATTGAAAAAAAAAAATTGTTTCATTTTTCATTGAGGTTATAATAAATAATTTGGTACCAAATTTGACAATTTTTGTAAATTTCCCAAATTTATAACATAAAAGTACACGAAGTGCAGAGAATCTTTTATAGTGTGTGTGTGTATATATATATATAGAGGGTGTATGTCTAATCAATTCTCAAGTCTGTTCTGAACATTTGTCCCAGCAAACTTTTCTGCTTATGTTTTTATATTTTTTCCCCTTTTCTTCTGCTTTTTCTTACTCTCCTTTCCTTTTCTCTCTGATGCTGCTTGGCTCTTTTCTTCTTATATATATAGAACTGGTCCATTGGAGTCTGATACTGTTTTCCTCATTGTTACAACCTAGAGCATGTTTGATTGAACCTAAGATAAAGTAAAAATACTTTTTGTAAGTGAATACTTACTTTTAAATAAGTGAGTTTTTGATCTAAACGCATGGGAGATGATCATGGTTGGCAAAAAATGTCAGTCAAAAGTAATTTTACTCTTTTTAGGCTTCGCCAAGCACGTTAAAACTTTTTCTTTTCATAGTTGTGTTATTTTGCTATGATCCAAATTTTAGGTAAATGAAGAGGGTGGTTGTAGATCGATAATGCGTTTTCAGCTATTACACATTTCATCAAGTCTTCAACAGACACTAGCAAAATGATTTTCACATAACAACCTTAAATTAAATAGTATTTTAATTTCTTGTTATTATTATTTATTATATTTGTTTTATTAAGAACAATATTATTTACAATTGTAACGATTAGTGATTTAATGCATTAATATGATAGTTTTTTGTTGTTTCGTGTATTAAATCATTAACCGTCACATGTAGGATAATTATAGTAGTGAATGATTGCAAATTGTTTTTTTTTGTTAATATTATCTAATTTTGTCCAATTCATGATACTCAACTCATTATAATTATCTAATAATAAATTTGTTTATAAGAGGGAATATTATTGTTTCTGTATTCAAAGGAGAGGAGGCAACTTTTTCTCTTTCCCGTCAAAAGACACAAAAAGAACTGCGCGAAGGACCTCAGCTTTTATTTCTCTGTCTGCCATTTATTTCCCACAAATAATCTCATATCACTTCACTGATATTAATACGTCTTCTCTTTTCTTTTCTCTCCCAAATCCTGCCTGAAAATCTGGTCATAAAACCATTTTCTGGCAACCCATTACGCAGCCTTTCTTTTAGCTCCACCTATCCTACAGCCATCAAGCATATCTTTCTCTTGTAGCTATTGTTATAACTTATACTCCATATTCACACCTTCATCTTGAATTGGAAATCTTGGTTTTCAGCTTCAACCAAAAAATTTCTTGAGGAAAAACTAGAGGGTAACAATCCCTTCTCGATATTATTTGAAGAAATCCACAAAAACCCATTTTTAAGCAAGGAAAAATGATCACAATCACAGACTTGTATCATGTGCTAACTGCTGTGGTTCCACTCTACGTCGCCATGATTTTGGCCTATGGTTCAGTAAAATGGTGGAAAATCTTCACCCCAGATCAATGTTCAGGCATCAATCGATTTGTGGCACTCTTTGCAGTGCCTCTGCTTTCTTTCCACTTCATCTCCACAAACAATCCCTATGCTATGAACTACAGATTCATAGCTGCTGATACTCTTCAGAAAATGATAATGCTTTTTGTTCTTGCCATTTGGTCAAGAATCAGCTCAAGAGGGTCCCTTGAATGGTCCATCACTCTGTTTTCTCTTTCTACACTCCCCAACACGCTTGTAATGGGGATTCCTCTGTTGAAAGGGATGTATGGCGAGTCTTCAGGGAGTTTAATGGTGCAGATAGTGGTGCTCCAGTGCATTATTTGGTACACTTTGATGCTGTTCTTGTTTGAGTACAGAGGAGCTAGAATGCTTATTGCAGAGCAGTTCCCAGACACTGCAGGTTCCATTATCTCCTTTAGAGTCGATTCTGATATCATTTCTTTGGATGGTAAAGAGCCTCTGCAAACTGAAGCGGAAATTGGTGAAGATGGAAAACTCCATGTCACTGTGAGAAAATCAACAAGTTCAAGGTCTGAAATCTTTTCAAGAAGATCCCATGGGCCTAACTCTGGTGTTTCCATGACACCTAGACCTTCAAATTTAACAAATGCAGAGATTTACTCTTTGCAGTCATCAAGAAACCCCACCCCAAGAGGCTCAAGCTTTAACCACACTGATTTTTATTCCATGGTGAATGGGAAGAACGCTAGTAATGTTAGTCCAAGGCATTCAAATTATGGGAACTTGGGGTTTGATGAGGAGAGTGGTTATGGGAACCCTTCAAGGCCTAATGGGGTTTCTGTGCAGGGGAATGGAGGGTACCCTGCACCTGTCGGTGCCGGAATTTTCTCTCCGGTGGCATCCACCGGCACGAAAAAGAAGGCAAATGGTACTGAGGGTAATGGCAAAGATCTTCACATGTTTGTATGGAGTTCTAGTGCTTCACCAGTTTCTGAAGGAGGGATTCATGTATTCAGGGGAGGTGACTTGGGGAATGAAATCAACGTTGGAGCTAACCCCAAAGGTATTTTTTACACATTTGGACTTGTCTTTTTTTTTTTTTTTTGTGTTAAAACACCTGTAGACTAAACTTTTAATACTTCTTGCTCTTGATTCCATAATTGTTTAATTCCATTCTTGTTTTCTGCATATGAATGATTGAATGTAATCCTAACATGTTGTCGACTTTTATATGTAACTGTATTTGTCTTTTACTATAACATGTCCTCAGATTCGGATTTCTTTTATTAGCTTGTGGTTGAAGAGGTTGTTTTTTTATGTTTTTTTCGTATGGAGTTTCCCTCATGTATGGGCATTCTGTTCTTGGTTTATTATTAACACTGCAACCTCCCGGAAATTTTGGTGTGTTTGTCTTTTACCTGGGAATGGAGTTGACTTTATTCGACACTCTTGTCATTGATAACATAGTTCCATTATTTTGATTCTGTATTTTAATTACTGATGATTCGACATGTTTGACGTTTCAGACTATGATGATTTTGGCCGAGACGAGTTCAGTTTTGGGAACAAACAGGGACTAAATGGGATGGACAGGGAAGGGCCTGTACTATCGAAGATCGGTTCAAGTTCGACTTCCGAGCTTCGTCCGAAGCCTAGTGTGGAGACTAAGACAACAGCTATGCCTCCGACTAGTGTGATGACTCGGCTCATATTGATTATGGTGTGGCGAAAGCTAATTAGGAATCCAAACACTTATTCCAGCCTCTTTGGCCTCACGTGGTCTTTGGTCTCATTCAAGTAAATATTCTTGTATTTTGTGAAAAATCCTTGTATGTAGCCCTTAATGTTGGAAATTTTGACCTATTGTTAAAATTGTTGCAGGTGGCATGTTGAGATGCCTGTGATTATCGCCAAATCAATATCTATTTTGTCTGATGCTGGTCTTGGAATGGCAATGTTCAGTCTTGGTATGATCTAATTGATGTCCCTCTTCAAAGATCATGTTCAAATTAGAGCATTTTCAGCTATACTTAGAAGTTACTTTTCAAGAGAAATAAGTTTAGTTAGTACACAAGTAACTTTTATGTTATGTTTGTCAATTGAGAAGCTTGAAAGTAACTTACTTCTTCCTGAGTTTACTTCATCGGCCATTTTACCGTATGCAGGATTGTTTATGGCATTGCAGCCTAGGATGATTGCTTGCGGGAAATCAGTTGCTGCCTTCTCCATGGCCGTGCGATTTCTTACAGGACCTGCTGTTATGGCTGCTGCCTCAATTGCCATTGGACTTCGAGGCGTTCTTTTACACATTGCAATCGTGCAGGTAAATAAAATTAAATGATGCAAAATTTTATACAATGTGATGGATTTATTTCCAATTACTTTTGACCACTCATGCTCCGCTGATGGATTTCAATCTTCATATTTTCAGTCTGCACTTCCTCAAGGAATCGTTCCCTTTGTCTTCGCAAAGGAATATAATGTTCATCCTGATATCCTGAGCACTGGGTTAGCTCCAATACATCGTGTTTTAAACTAAATTTCTTTATTGAAATATTGTTACGTGCATGTTGATGGAAGCACAAATGTTGTATGCATTAACTATCACTTGATATGAAGATATCGAATGATGGTAGTATGAGTCGTAAGTGAAGTTTCACTTGCCTTTTTATGTTTCTAATTTCATATTTTCATGTATTATGGTTGTTGCAGGGTGATATTCGGGATGTTAATAGCTCTACCTATAACTTTGATCTACTATATCTTGCTGGGACTTTGAAGTTGAAGCAGTAAAGCTGCTGCTGCTGCAGATTAATGAAAGAACTAACCCTTTTGTCATTGGCATTTTTTGGGCTTCTAACGAGACATAAAAAATCTAGCAGAAAAGGGTGGGCAGGTGGAACTTTGAAGAGACTCACTCTTGTAACAAGGCTGATGTTGATGCTGATATATATGAATAGAGAAGAATGAAGAATTATTAGTTTCTATCGTCTTTTCTTGCTTTCTTGTGCCCTCTATTGCTTAATTTTGTTCCTTTTCTTGAAGAAAATGAAGCTTAATTTTAGTTAAGATTAGAGGTTTCAAAAAGTGTAGACGGTCTACATTTATGGCCTAACTTTGTTGTGCTTGCCCAACCAGGTCCAATATTAAGAAGGAAGGTGCTACAAGTACATCGGGGTGTACATAAGGGTGTCCATAATAGACACCCGGAACCTCCCTATTGGATGAAGTGCAGGTGGGGTCGGCACTTCATTCAATGGGGAGGTGCCGAGTGTCCATGGACACCTTTATCTATCCCCTAATGTACAAGTAACATTTTCCTATTAAGAAATACATTGCATTCCCTCGTTTTGAATTTAAAGAAAAATAACCCGTAGATGCTTGTGTCCACATCACGATTGGCATGCTGGAGGGGATGGATGGAGTCGGGCAGCGCAGGCTTGTTACCTGCTGCTTCACTGTTTCAGTATTTTGTACCTTGCTTTAAGAGCAAAAGGGTAATTAGCAAAAATCATCTATATTGTTTGCACTCATTGGGAAAATAGTCCATTTCATTTCAAACTGGACATTTATGCCTTCATTTCATACTTTTCTTGCGGAGTTGGTCCTTTTCATCATGTTCCGTTAAATCATTCCATGAAATATGGGTAATTGGCACACAAAGTCCCCATCCTTTGTCTTCATTGCTCAAGCTCATATCATTTCAATAATGGCATTTGGACACTCAAATCGAACTTTCTTTACTTAGAAAGTTCTTACCTTTCATTTTTATTATTATTGTAAAATGTCTCATTTAGCCTCCCTTTTTTAATAATCAAATAGAAAAGAAACACTATGTAAAAAAAAATTACATATTAAATTTTTTAAAAAATGCAAATGAGTTTCATGTAAAACAATTTAAAATATTCTAATCTAACAATAGAAAAACATTTTATCTTTCCAATTAATCCACCTACATCTATGTCCATCCACTACGCTCCACTACGCTCCACCACAACCACCAAAATAATAAAAAAGAGTATTAAAAGCATATAAAAAAAAAAGCAAGAAAAGAGTTAAAAAAAAAAAAACCAAGCAAAATGGTGCTTCTTCCTCGTCCAATTCCACACCCTGCCATCATTGTTGTCACCCCCCACCCCCCAACCAATTCTGCCCATTTCATTATGGCACCATCCAAAAATGTAGCTATTTTCTTGTAATCAAGTTTCGTAGTTCAATATCATTTTATTTGTTTATTTAAAGAGTAGAACCATTTTAAAATACTTTAATGGAGAAAATAGATGATAAGGACCTTTATGTGTAAAATGTCAATTTGCGTGTCAAAATTGAAATGATAGAAACTATTTGCACAATGAAGGCAATTGATATGAATTTTTTGCACTAATTACCTATATTTCAAGGAAGGATTAACCGAACATAACGAAAATGACCAACTTAGCAAGAAAAGTTTGAAATTGGGTGCAAATGTCAAGTTTGAAACGATAGGGACTATTACTGCGAAGAGTACAAACAATAGAGATGTTTGTTGGGGTAAAAACCGAAAGGGAAAAAGCTAGGGGAAAAAATTCAGTCTGAAATAATGTTTAGGGGGGAAAAGGTGTGGGAAAATTTGAGTATAGGTTTACGCTGTTTTAAGATTGCACATTAATTGAAATAAATTGTCAAATTATAGGACTGCACTACCTACAATTTTTGACTCGTATGTCGACACTTGATGTTTTACATTACTTCTACTACTCAATTCGATTCATTCTACTTTGTATACATGTCATATCTCATCTTTATCTTTCACATCTTATCCTTATTCACACTTCAACCTCATATTTGTATAGCCAATCACCATATTTTTGTAGCCTTCTCATGTCATCAAATCTTCAATCTCATCATCTGAATGTCTGAAGATCCTTTGAACAAGATGATTACTAACATGCGCATCGAAGAAGATGATGAAAAATACGATCTAGAGTTTCAAATCGTGATAGGGTCATCAAACTCAATAATTCTCAGCACAAATTGAGGGAGTTCCAAGTACTCGACGATATAAAGATCGTGATCGAGAAGTATGTTATCGACAACTCATGAAGGATGATTTCTGTCAATGGCCTATTTATAATCAAGAGAAATTTCGAACTCGATTTCGAATGAGTCGATCTTTATTCCAGCGCATCCAACAATGCCTCCATTTTTTTCTTTCTTCCAATTTGGCGCCCTTATGATTTTTTTAGAATTGAAATTCTCCCACACTGTTGTTTCTAGTGAATGAGAAATGGAATGTAGAGGAAACCACAATTTTATAGATTGCAACCAAAGAGTAATGAGGGGTAAAACCCAACATTAGTTTTGCTCTGAAGGGATTGAAAAGTTAAAGTTAATTTAACCAAACAGGAATCTCTATGCAGGAAAACGATAATTGATTTTCTGATACATTGAAGGTAAACTAGAGGGAATTTTAGAGTGCCAGGCTTGCTGCTGTGGTTTTACAGCTTTTGCTGGGGGGTTGGTACAAAATAAATAATGGCGTAGCTTGCAATTTGCAAAGTTGTACAAGTCAGGTATGTGGGTCCCAATTGGATTATGAGTGGAAACGTGGTAAATACAACGTTAGATGAGAAAGGCTAGGTTTTAGGCCATGTCGGTTCATTTAATAGCAGTGTTTGCCATCCCTATACTCTAGCCACACTCTATTAAGTTGGGAGGAATTGAGAAAAATCTAAGCCATGTTTGATAGTGATTTTTTTAAGAAATAGAAACAAATTTCATAATCAAGTGTAATAAAAAGTTTCACTTTCATATATAATTTTGATGCAAACGAAGGTCAAACGAATACTAAACTTTGATAAAAAAATATTTTTTTAAGAAACTTTTTTTTTCTTTTTTTTTTTGGCTTGCTGCTGTGGTTTTACAGCTTTTGCTGGGGGGTTGGTACAAAATAAATAATGGCGTAGCTTGCAATTTGCAAAGTTGTACAAGTCAGGTATGTGGGTCCCAATTGGATTATGAGTGGAAACGTGGTAAACGTTAGATGAGAAAGGCTAGGTTTTAGGCCATGTCGGTTCATTTAATAGCAGTGTTTGCCATCCCTATACTCAGCCACACACTATTAAGTTGGGAGGAATTGAGAAAAATCTAAGCCCTGTTTGATAGTGTTCTTTTTTCATGGAATTGGAAATCATTTTTCATCTTTTTGAAAAAATGCATGTTTGATTGACAATAATTTCTTGGCAAAAAATTTTCTTGGCTAGAGGCTACGCGCCTGGTTTTCCCTGAAATTGGTGAAAACCAATTCTCACCTTCCAGCCTCTGCCATCATTTTTGATTTTTTTTTTTTTTAGAAATGGAAACAAATTTCATAATCAAGTGTAATAAAAAATTTCACTTTCATATATAATTTTGATGCAAACGAAGGTCAAACGAACACTAAACTTTGATAAAAAAAATATTTTTTTAAGAAACTTTTTTTTTTCTTTTTATTTTTTGGCAATGGAAACAAATTTTATAACCAAGTGTGAAAAAATATCACTTTAATGGACAATTTTGATACAAACGAAGGTCAAACGAACATTAAACTTTGATAAAAAAATGATTTTTTAGGAAACTTTTTTTTTGTTTTTTACTTTTTGGCAATGAAAACAAATTTTATAATCAAGTGTGAAAAAAATATCACTTTAATGGACAATTTCGATGCAAACGAAGGCCAAACGAACACAAAATTTAAAAAAATTTCAGGTAGAAAATTATACCAATCAAACACACTTAGTGCGTGTTTGGCCCCAATTATTTCACAGATTTTGATTGAAAATTCAACCGTTGCTTTGTCCTTCAGCCGCAACAATTGACCAGGTGTGAGGGATGTGGGGGCCACCAATTGAAAAAAAACGGTAATATTTATGCTGAAAATCTAATGAAAATGGCCAACAGACACACCCTTAATTAACAATTCTCTGAAAAATAATTTTTAGACAACTACTTTCCCTAGAATTCATTTTCTTTTCACCAATTTTCCACCCTTACAATCAAACGGATTCTAACCTAAAAAATATAAGGGAAAATTGCAGTAGCGGTGCCGACCTTTCATTAAATAACAGACTTTGTTCAAACTTTTCATTTGTGTCATCCACGATACCAAACATTTCAAAATATCGTAGCTGAAGTTCAAATGGATGAAAACTATTATTTTGATAGTTAGTTAACCAAAAATGAAAAGTCTGACAAAATGTTGACTAATTTTAAAAGGGCAAAAATGTACTATTATTTCATCAATTTTTATCGAAATTTATTAAAAATTTTATTTTAATATTTACCAAACAAGGGCTGAATAAGATAATATGATAATTAGTACTTGTTTGGAAGTATTTAAATTATAATTTTAAAATTTCGTTTAAAATATAACTACTACAAAGTACGGACATCTGGCCGACATATAGTTGGATTTCCACGATTCTATGATTAATTAGTTAATGGCAATAAAGCGCATTATTTCCCATCTTTTCATATTAGCAAAAGCCAAATCCTGTTTTTAGGTAAAGCTTTGTTCATAATATGAAAAAACAGCATAACAGACATCATATTTGAAGCTAGCCTTTTCATTGACGATCTATTTGAAAAAATAAATAAATAAATAAAGTGTTGTAAAGTGGGAATTCACACCAATCTTAATCAAAGTGGACAAATACAAAAGCATCTTTAGCTTTTGCTTTTGCTTATTAATTCCAATTAGTGGGTTACATCTCTTTTTCCATGTTTTTCATGAATCCAATGTAGTATGTACTTAGAAACTAA